AGTGCTGCTGCATTTGGCATGCCGTGCAGGATCATACATTTGTGGAATTAAGTCGGAAAGGGGTAGGTTGTTACACAGTGGAGCAATAAAAAAAAAACGTTGACAAGAAAACAGCCATTGCCCCGATGATAACAAGTTGCCATACATTTAAAAAATAAGAAAAAAATCTTTTACTCCTTTTGGTGAGTCTTGACTTTTATATGTCTTTCTTCAAAGATACCCGCTAACTCTAAATCGTGAACACTATACAATCTTTTCAGTGTCCCAGGAGAGTGATTGCCCACAGGTGTTTCAACGTGTACCTAAAAGGGTACCTTCACCACTTTTCGCAGGTGAGTTTACTCTTCTATATATGTCTCTTATATCGAGGTGGCCCTGACAAGTGTGAAACTGAGCAGATCCTTATAAGACATCTTATTTTCACATTGAAGTCAATTTTATGCGTTTCGCACCTACCAACATGAACATTTGCTTCACGACAAGCTACGGCATTAATTCCGGTGACTTCATGCAGCAATCGGTCAAGTCGTGAAGGCGTGAGGGGCCAATACTTCCAAAACGGATGACGTTTGTGTGTCACCAACAGAAGCACCACGTGGTATCTTTCGTCAAATATCTTGCACGTGAAGAGAATCTCATACCATGTTGTGACGTCAGGGAACGGTAAGAATCGAAACTAGCTTTTTAAAACATATTGCTTTTAATGGGTTCACTCACGTAGAGCAGTTTTTTTTTCAGGGCTTTTGGAAGCTTGGCCCTTCAAGCGTATGCAAGAAAACAACAACTGATGATATTCGTGTGAGTGCCCCTTTAAAGATTGCGACAAGTCAGGACTCACCAGAAAAAGCAACAATCGAGTCTGATCTGCAACCTGTCCTTCGTATTGTTAGTCGCTCCAAGTTCAGTGTTACTCAAAAGGCTGCTGTGCAGCCTTGAATTTTACGCGGCGCTCATTCCGTCGCAGATGCCTGCAAACGATAACAGTTTTGTGAACGTGTTCTCCTTCGCTACAAAGCTGTGGGACTCACTTGCACAGCGCCAGGACTTCATTTCTCACGGCTTCAATAGAGGGCGGTACAAACGCAGCATCTGAAGTCGCCTGTCGTATGACAGGTATGGCGAGCGGCTCTGTACGGCGAGTCGTGCACAGCTGTTCACTCCGCTTCGTGTCGATAGCGTGGCCGAGCGGTCTAAGGCTGGTTTAAGGCACCAGTCTCTTCGGCGGCGTGGGTTCAAAACCCAATGCTGCCAAATCTTTTATTGCTTCTATTTAACTGTCAGTAATGCTTGTTCAATCTTATATCACCATTTAGTTAACTCATTCTCATGTTTCTAAGCTTTAGCAAGTTTTGCCGCTTTGTGTCACATCATTTCATGGCTTTTTTGTTTCACTAATAATAATGAACGTATCAGAATAATGAGTATAATTATTACTCTGTAGGTGAATCAACTGTTTTTTCTACGTTTCTACGTTGGACACACCGCGTTCAGACTGTATTCAGCGTAATCAGAACTCTGTCACACCCACCCCACTCCCTCTCCCTGCACACTGTGTCTGGGTACAAATAACATGTGAGAGTCCAAGGTGAACTATTAAAAGCATGGAAAATGAACTTGATTAGCCCTTCAGTGGTTTCTTGCACAGTGCTGCTGCATTTGGCATGCCGTGCAGGATCATACATTTGTGGAATTAAGTCGAAAGGGGTAGGTTGTTACACAGTGGAGCAATAAAAAAAAAACGTGACAAGAAACAGCCATTGCCCCGATGATAACAAGTTGCCATACATTTAAAAAATAAGAAAAAAATCTTTTACTCCTTTTGGTGAGTCTTGACTTTTATATGTCTTTCTTCAAAGATACCCGCTAACTCTAAATCGTGAACACTATACAATCTTTTCAGTGTCCCAGGAGAGTGATTGCCCCAGGTGTTTCAACGTGTACCTAAAAGGGTACCTTCACCACTTTTCGCAGGTGAGTTTACTCTTCTATATATGTCTCTTATATCGAGGTGGCCCTGACAAGTGTGAAACTGAGCAGATCCTTATAAGACATCTTATTTTCACATTGAAGTCAATTTTATGCGTTTCGCACCTACCAACATGAACATTTGCTTCACGACAAGCTACGGCATTAATTCCGGTGACTTCATGCAGCAATCGGTCAAGTCGTGAAGGCGTGAGGGGCCAATACTTCCAAAACGGATGACGTTTGTGTGTCACCAACAGAAGCACCACGTGGTATCTTTCGTCAAATATCTTGCACGTGAAGAGAATCTCATACCATGTTGTGACGTCAGGGAACGGTAAGAATCGAAACTAGCTTTTTAAAACATATTGCTTTTAATGGGTTCACTCACGTAGAGCAGTTTTTTTTTCAGGGCTTTTGGAAGCTTGGCCCTTCAAGCGTATGATGCAAGAAAACAACAACTGATGATATTCGTGTGAGTGCCCCTTTAAAGATTGCGACAAGTCAGGACTCACCAGAAAAAGCAACAATCGAGTCTGATCTGCAACCTGTCCTTCGTATTGTTAGTCGCTCCAAGTTCAGTGTTACTCAAAAGGCTGCTGTGCAGCCTTGAATTTTACGCGGCGCTCATTCCGTCGCAGATGCCTGCAAACGATAACAGTTTTGTGAACGTGTTCTCCTTCGCTACAAAGCTGTGGGACTCACTTGCACAGCGCCAGGACTTCATTTCTCACGGCTTCAATAGAGGGCGGTACAAACGCAGCATCTGAAGTCGCCTGTCGTATGACAGGTATGGCGAGCGGCTCTGTACGGCGAGTCGTGCACAGCTGTTCACTCCGCTTCGTGTCGATAGCGTGGCCGAGCGGTCTAAGGCGCTGGTTTAAGGCACCAGTCTCTTCGGCGGCGTGGGTTCAAATCCCAATGCTGCCAAATCTTTTATTGCTTCTCTACCTGATCGTTTGACCAGTTCATTGAACATTGCATTATAATATTACGAAGCATCGGTAGCGTGGCCGAGTGTTCTAAGGTGCTGGTTTAAGGCACCAGTCTCTTCGGGGCGTGGGCTCAAATCCCAACGATGCCGAACTTTTATTGCTTCTCTACCTGATCGTTTGTCCAGTTCATTGAACATTGCATTATAATATATTACAAAGCATCGGTAGCGTGGCCGAGCGGTATAAGGCGCTGGTTTAAGGCACCAGTCTCATCGGTGGCGTGGGTTCAAATCCCAATGCTGCCAAATCTTTTATTGCTTCTCTACCTGATCGTTTGACCAGTTCATTGAACATTGCATTATAATATATTACGAAGCATCGGTAGCGTGGCCGAGTGGTCTAAGGTGCTGGTTTAAGGCACCAGTCTCTTCGGGGGCGTGGGCTCAAATCCCAACGATGCCGAAACTTTTATTGCTTCTCTACCTGATCGTTTGTCCAGTTCATTGAACATTGCATTATAATATATTACGAAGCATCGGTAGCGTGGCCGAGCGGTCTAAGGCGCTGGTTTAAGGCACCAGTCTCTTCGGGGGCGTGGGTTCGAATCCCACCGCTGCCAAAACTTTTATTGCTTCTCTACAAGGTCGTTCATCCAATGTATTGAATATTGTATTATAAAAGAGTGCACCCCATCGGTAGCATGTCCGAACGGTCTAAGGCGCTGGTTTAAGGCACCAGTCTCTTCGGGGCGTGGGCTCAAATCCCAACGATGCCGAAACTTTTATTGCTTCTCTACCTGATCGTTTGTCCAGTTCATTGAACATTGCATTATAATATATTACGAAGCATCGGTAGCGTGGCCGAGCGGTCTAAGGCGCTGGTTTAAGGCACCAGTCTCTTCGGGGGCGTGGGTTCGAATCCCACCACTGCCAAAACTTTTATTGCTTCTCTACAAGGTCGTTCATTCATTGTATTGAATATTGAATTATAAAATAGTGCCAGCCATGGGTAGCGTGGCCGAGTGGTCTAAGGTGCTGGTTTAAGGCACCAGTATCTTCGGGGGCGTGGGCTCAAATCCCAACGCTGCCATAACCTTTATTTCTTCTCTACAAGGTCGTTCATTCATTGTATTGAATATTGAATTATAAAAGAGTGCACCCCATCGGTAGCATGTCCGAGAAGTCTAAGCGCTGGTTTAAGGCACCAGTCTCTCCGGGGGCGTGGGTTCAAATCCCAACGCTGCCAAAACTTTTATTGCTTCTCTACCTGATTGTTTGTCCAGTTCATTGAACATTGCAATATAATATATTACCAACCATCGGTAGCGTGCCGAGTGGTCTAAGGCGCTGGTTTAAGGCACCAGTCTCTTCGGGGGCGTGGGTTCGAATCCCACCGCTGCCAAAACTTTTATTTCTTCTCTACCTGATCGTTTGTCCAGTTCATTGAACATTGCATTATAATATATTACGAAGCATCGGTAGCGTGGCCGAGCGGTCTAAGGCGCTGGTTTAAGGCACCAGTCTCTTCGGGGGCGTGGGTTCGAATCCCACCGCTGCCAAAACTTTTATTGCTTCTCTACAAGGTCGTTCATCCAATGTATTGAATATTGTATTATAAAAGAGTGCACCCATCGGTAGCATGTCCGAACGGTCTAAGGCGCTGGTTTAAGGCACCAGTCTCTTCGGGGGCGTGGGCTCAAATCCCAACGATGCCGAAACTTTATTGCTTCTCTACCTGATCGTTTGTCCAGTTCATTGAACATTGCATTATAATATATTACGAAGCATCGGTAGCGTGGCCGAGCGGTCTAAGGCGCTGGTTTAAGGCACCAGTCTCTTCGGGGGCGTGGGTTCGAATCCCACCGCTGCCAAAACTTTTATTGCTTCTCTACAAGGTCGTTCATCCAATGTATTGAATATTGTATTATAATATTACCAAGGATCGGTAGCGTTGCCGAGCGGTATAAGGTGCTGGTTTAAGGCACCAGTCTCTTCGGGGGCGTGGGCTCAAATCCCAACGCTGCCGAAACTTTTATTGCTTCTCTACCTGATCGTTTGTCCAGATCATTGAACATTGCATTATAATATATTACCAAACATC